TCAACACCAAGACCTGGGCTGCCACAAGGTAAGCTGCATTGGGAAACTGATACCACCAAAAACTAATTTCTTGCTTGCAAGAAAGACATTTTTCAACTGGATGAGCTCCCAGGGAGCTGCCACAACAGCCTGCAGTTATATCCAGGTGCAGAACTGCACTGTCAGGTCTTGTCACTCGGAGAAAACACGGCCAAAGGGCATCCAGACAGCGCTGATTTCTCACCTGCATGATTCAGGGAGAGATGAAAAGGGAGCAACAGCAGAAACGAGCGTGCCTTCCCTGGAGAGCCCCAGGTGCAGAGCTCTACTGCAAGATGATCACTGGGGGATGTACCCTGAGTCCATATCCCCTGGAAAAAGAAAAGCCGAACCAGGGAATGGGAGGAGTTAGATCCTGTAAACTCAGTCTGAATTGGCTGTTCTCCCTGTGAAACATGCCACTGTGCTAGGAAAACCAAGAAAGGTGGCTACCCATAATCACCAAGCCTCACCTACAACATGACCCTTCTCCAAAAGGGAGCGAAGCAGCCCGGGACAGAGGGAAGAGAGGATGTCTGTTTACACCAAGCACTACAGAGCGAGTAGGGAACAACTTCAGGGAATGCAGGGAAAGAGAAGCGCGGTCAGAAACGAAGGGCAGCAAGGGGTAAGCCTTCAGCCCCTCCACTTTAAAAACAAAATAAAAAAAAGCCTCACAGGAAGCTTAGGGCAGCAGCTGCCTCCCTTCCACATCTGTCAGGCAGTGGTGCAGGTGACAGCCACACAGCGAGAAGCAAGGACAAGGAAAGAGACCGCCAGAGCTGGTGGTATGCCGGCCAGCGGCCTCTTTGCTTTATTTTCATATTTATTATATCTTTATTTGGTCTGCCTTTGCTGGCACGAGGTGATCAGCTCTGACAGAGCAGAAGCATAAGCAAAGGCAGGGCGGAGGAGGAGGCGCACGCTAACTGCAGCTGGAGCCATGCCTGGGAAGCCAGGGGGACAGAGATCCGACCAGACCACACCACCCCAGCCGGGATCTGCAGCTAGTCGGCCTCCTCAACAGGCACAGATGCTCCTAAAAAAGTGAGAAAAGACTGCTTTAATAAAAAACTAGGTTGGTTGGTTGTCTTTTTTTTTCCTTCCCCCCAAAGGCTGGCAGAAACTTACTTAACCCCAGCCATGAAAGAGCCCCTAAGAAGGGACTCCTGACAGCACGAACAAAGACCCGCAGAGAGCACAAGTTCCCACCATCCGTGCAGGAAAGTTCAGCGGCTCCAGACACAGGAAAGCACTGTCTGGTAGTACCCTGAATGAAATTCCTTCACCCCGGCTATCACGCACTATCAGCCCCGCGCTTAACAGCGGCCGACCTTCCGAAGTAAGGCAACATTTACGTAGGACAGCGCAGAGCGGCCGCTTCCACGAGGGGGGAAACAAAAAGTAGTGTTTTCATACGCCAAACACTGGCTCATTCTTATCGACCACGCTCCAAAGCCAGTCCCGGGACAGACTAACATTTTTTCCAGCTGCCATCCTCACGGCAGATCAAGCTCTTCGCTGAGACCAGCCAGCAACTCGATGCGCTTCTTTTTCGAATTTTAACTGACAGAAAATAGGAGGGTACAAAAAGTAAAGTTTCAAAGCATCACGTGTGTGTTTATCTCAGCTTTCAGAGGAACTGCGGATTGCTTAAATCCATTCTGACTATCCGGCATGGCCCTTGGCAAGCAGGAATGGTTTTCTTATTTAAATTCAGGAAGAAAACACAGGGAAAAAATGACTTTCGGCACAAAGCACCAAGTACAACCAGTTCTGATGTTCATCAGTTGCGACCCCGAAGCTTTTAATACAGAGAGCTAGTCTCAGAACTTAACATTTTGTAGAAAGTCTGAATACAACTATTTAAAAAAAAGAATCTCACCTTCCTATTTTCCCCCTCTTTGCTAGAAGAGTTTGGCAAAAAAAATCCCTGAAAGTACTGATTTTAGATAACTTGAGGTGAAAAAATTCTATCTGATCCTCCATTTGCAATTATATATAGAAGAAATAATTAGAGATTTGAGTTTTCTTATTGGCAAGCAACAGGCTAAATCCCATTTTCAAGTAAATTTACTACCCTCCCCTCCAAAAAAAATGGATTAGGCCTGTATCAACGCCAGATTTCACAGAGAGCCACCTTATGTACAGGCAAGCACTACAGAGTAGGACCCAGCCAGCTTTGCATCCACACACGCCGCGATAACCACAACTTTTAATTAAATCCACACAGCACATAAAAATGAAGCACTGTATCCCATCTAAATTAAATACTGCCACTGCCATGCTCTGAGAGCTACAGGCAATCCACGGCAGCTCGCGCAGACGCCCGATTTCTGCAGAAATCATCAGCACACGGAGCAACAGCCCCCAGTGTTTTTGTGGCAGAGGAAATGAGTCACCGCGGGCTCCCGGTGGGGCTCGGAAGCTCGCAATGGGCAGTTTTTAATCTGAAGAAGGAAGGCTGGCTCGAGGTTTTTCCTGTCCTATCTTAGGGGACAGGCGACGACGAAGAGGTTGCGGGACCGACAGCGCGAGGTGTGCCACCCTGAAGCACGTGGCACACGTGTGATTTGAGGGTGGGATTCCCATAGCACCTTCGGAGATATGGAAAGGGGTTTACTGAGCGCTAACACTGCTCAGAAAATGGCACTGGCACCTTGGTGTTTGGAGCATTTGGGTTTGCTGATGATGAGCCTCCACAGAGCAATACTCAGGCCTGTTAGCAGGAGAGCGATTTGGGCTACTTTGAAGCAACAAGTAGCTAACGTGTTTAAAAACACCAAAAATCATGAAAATGGAGGGGGAAGGATAAAAAGCCTGCCTCTTCAGGATTAAATAAAGAGGTTTTAAGCATCCAAAGCTTGTAAGAAGCATCTGCCTTTCAGCTGCCCTCTAGCAAGGGGACAGGTAGCTGGCATCTCACAGCGCGTTTGCCAACAGCCTTCTCCATCTGCACCAGACGTGGCATTTGCCACCAGTGATGCCAGGATGCGTACAGCCACGGATCAGCCCCAGCAGAGACCTAGGAGCCGTGCAGCTCTGCCACTTCGAGCCTGCTGGCACTGCACGCAGGAAGAAGGCAAGAAGGTGAGGAGCCTGCAGCCTGGCCGTGCTCCTGCTCCCTCGGGGCTGCTGCAGGCTTTGTGCTTCCTTTCTGGTTGACTGCCAGGAAAAAGAAAAAAAAACAACCTTATAATGCCTTGTAAAATGCTAGGGTATGGCATTACCAGCACACAACCCCAGCAAGCCACGGGCCAGATGAAGATCATACGCAGACACGCCACGCGTGCCGTGAGCACACCCTTGGGAAGCCTTTCAGCCTTTTCTTCCATGCGAAACTCAAGCTCTCTGGAAAAACACGCTGCTGCAACCTATCTGGCAGCCAGGTGGCTACCATAAAGCACGCAGACTCCAAGGAGCTGCCAGAAGGGCTGCTGCTCGCCCCGGCCCGTTCGGAGCCCCCCGAGGCAGCGGTTTCTCCCAGCACAGGCGATGAGCTCACCGGCGGAGCAAGGCTGCTGCGGGCGCTGGTGAAGTCATCAGCTGGTGAAAGAGAAATGTAAGTCCCCGGGAGGCTGGAGTTCAGCCCCGGTAATTAGGGCTGGAATAGTTTAAAGTAGAGGCTGAGTCTTTAAGCATATGCATGCTTTCGCACTTGCCTGCCAGCTTCAAATTCACCAGATCCACGAGCAGCCTTTAGGGTTGTTTAAAAAAAAAATAAAAAGGTTAAAATTTAACTTAAGATACACAAAAGGCAGCTGGCATGGCACTTCCACCCTCCCCAGCCTGCACATGGCGGGTCCGGCTGCAGAAGGGAAGGGACCCGCTCGGTGCTGCTGGTCTGTCCCGTATGGTGATGTTCATCCAAGGGAGGAAACCAACTTCACGGCTTCAGTCACAGCTACGGGGTGCCACAGGGCACGTGCTCCTCGCCTGCGATGGTGACAGCACTGGCAGAGCATAGCAGGCTGGGCTCCACACAATAAAAACAGCTGGGGTAGACCAGTCCTCCCAGGCTGGGAGCATCAGGCGGGAGGTAACTGGTGTTTCGTCCAGAGGGTTTTTTTGGGTGGGTGGCTTTTTTTGTTTGGGTTTTGCTTGCTGAGGGTTTTTTTGGTGCTGTTGTTTAAGTGATCCTGTGAACTTTAAGCCAGAGGTGAATGGAGAGTTTGTTTCACAACGGCAAGCAGGGTATTTTCCGCCACACGGCGGGACGCACTTCCCAAAAGAAATGAAGTTCAACGAGCCCTGAAGAGCGATCACTTCAGCAACTTTTTCCCCATTAATGACCCTGATACCCTGCTACTCTTACTTCACCTGTAGCGCTCTGCTGCTTTTGCTTTCCTTTACCGATCGATCCGCTTGGAGTTCTTCCAAAACCAACAGAGCAGGCAAACACCTTCCACGCTTTTTATGAGGCTTTAAGGTGGCTTCTTCTTTCCGAGTGGCCTCTGAAGACGCCTTTTCTTTATGAGCACCCAAAAAATCCCAACCACCAGACTGCAGAGCCACGCCGAGGGCAGCACGTCGCTCCCGAAGGAAGCCAGCCCATGGTGCTGCTGCTTCCTGCGAGTCGCATGGCAGGGCAGCGCTCGAAGCCCCAAAACCCCACGAAATGTTGGGAAAAGCAGAAAGTTTGATGCCGTGCTCCTGCCCACGGGGCACCGCGTGCTGCCACCTCCACCCGCACCACGCTGCCAGCTCCACGAAGCGAGGCAAAGACACGAGGTGAGCCCCAAACACAGGAGCTCATTTAGGGCGCTAATTAGGAGGGCGCTAATTAGGAGGGCGCTAATTAGGACGGAGGGGAGCTCCCCAGCCCCAGGCCAGCCCCCAGCAGGGGGGCAGCACCCCGGGGGGCTGCAGACAGCGGGCTCCCCACGGCAGCGCCCCGGTTCCCCGCCCCCCGTTGGGGCCCGCCCCGCGGCTCGGCCCCCGTCCCCTGTTCCTCCCCGGTTCCCGGTCCCTTGGGCGCTCACCGTGTGTCCCAGCAGGGCGTCGGGGTCGGCGGGCTCGCACAGCTCGCTCAGCTTGCGGTCCCACTGCAGCAGCAGCAGCGGGGGCTGCTCGCCGCCCTCGCACACCTCCATGGCGGCACCGACACCGCCACGGGCACCGGCCCCCGCCCGCTCCCTCCCCGCGGCCGCCGCCGCCGCCGCCACCGGCGCCGCTGCCGGGAGTGCCCGGAGGGGCGGGGCCGCGCCGCCAGCTGCGCGCCGCGCCCCCGCCCGGCCCCGCCCCCTCGGAGCAGGCAGCCAATGGGAAGGCGAAGGAGAGGGCGGGCGGAGGGGCGCGGGCCAATCGCCGCCCGCCTGCCCGCCCCGCTCCAGCTGCGGAATGCGGGCGGGGACCCGCAGGGCGCGGCGTGGGAGCGGAGAGTCGCCCCCCCGCGGCGCCGCTCGGCCAATGGAGAGGAGGGGGCGGCTTGAGCGACGGGAGAAACAGCCAATGGGGCAGCGACAAGACTGCGGCCGCCGCGCGGAAGCCCGCCCCCCGGCTGAGGGGAGCGGGAGGGGGGCAGCCCCTGAGGAAAACAAAGTGGCGGGGGCGGTGTGAGGGGCAGGGCCAGCCCGAGGGGGTTCGTTAATCCTCCTCTGACGTGACCAAACGGTAAAAGATTAATAAAAAAGTTTAACAACAGCTGTGTCGAGTGCTGCCAAGTCCTCATAAACACTACGGAAGATTTTCTTTTGGGCACAGAAATATTTTAGTACACAGACACTACCCATTTGTGGGGCTGCACATTAATCTAAAACATGACATCAGTAACTAATAACCAGACATTGGTAACCAGGTGTCCTGTGCCTGCCACTTTACTGGTATTAGTATTGAAGGCTACATCTCATTTGAGCTTGAGAGTTTCTAAAACAACTCCCTGGGACTTCATAATGAACCGTGACCAATTGGCCCTGCAGTGGGGCAAGCAACATAGACCGCACTGAAGTTTTTGTGCTGCTGAACCAGTTACTCTTGGGGAAAATAAATATGTATTAGAAAGTTTCTGCTAAAAATTGGCAGCACGTACAGGGAATCAAGATGAACGTGAAGGAAAAGTAATCCTGTCCAGAGGATATTAATTAATCAACACACGGGACAGCACTCCAATGCCTTGTGCATTACTGGTCACAAACTGACTCTATACCAGAAACACACACACAGTGGAAAGAGCACCACAGAAACATCAAGAACATTACACAGACACAACTCTCGTCCTAACTTTTCCCATACTGCTTGGAGGATTTTAAACAGTGTATTTCAACAGCTACGAGCATGCTGAAAATCAAGGCAGTTTTTCCGTGTTTCATAATTTTCCTCTTCGGGCAGATTTAGCAGCAGTTTTAAATTCCAGTTCAGCTAATTCTGTGAGCATTTCAGCCTCTCCTTTTACGTAAGACCATTTCCTCACCACAGTCTTCTGAACTGTGTTCAAACCCACCCTCCAACACAGGGGGACAATAGAAAACCAGACTGTCAAGCTACAAGAAGAGAAAAGGTGGGGTTTTATTGCGTGCAGAGATGCAGCTGAGGCGAAGAGGGGAGAGCTCAACTTTCTTTTACTCACTCTTCTGTTGCCTGTCTGCAAGGAGCAGAAAACCCACACTGAAAAGCCACACACAAAACCAAGCCAGCTGAGAAGGAGGTGGCTGGTAAGAAGGTAGAGCTCCAAACAAACATGACTTACTTTAAATATCAAAGAAAAAAAAAGCTGGCAACAATACAAGCCTGTAAGTTAAGTCTCAGAAAGCCTGGCAAAGGAAAGGTGCTCTCTTTTCCTTGCAGATCCGGGTTACAGAAGTCACTCCAGTGACTGCATCGTTACCCAGTTCTTGATCGGGTCAGTTGCACAAAGGCTCATTAAATATTTACAAGTGACATTTTTCTGACTTGTGACAACCAGGATCAAGATAACCATCCATTTTCTAAAGCCATTTTGTTCAGGTGAGTTTGAAAAGTCAACCAGCAAGAAAAGGACAAATAGCAACAGAGCCTAACCTATAAAAGGATAACAACCATGTGCTTTTTTTTAAACAGCTACAAATGAAAAATCGCACCCCTTAAAAAACACAGAAAATGGCCATGTGTAGAAAAAGAGTTTCTTCAGCAAAATTAGCACCTCTTAAAGAGCGCAGGGCCCAAATTTCAGGACTAAGAATGACACAGAGAAAGACCAGGCTACCAACTTCTAATCACAGTGTTTTCTGGAGATTGTGCTGAAATTGCAAAGTATGGTAACAAGCTGATTTTTTTTTATTATTATTATTTTTTTTTTTTTTTTTTTTTTTTAGGTGAGAGACAAAGCAACCAGCAGAAGAAAAAAATTTTACACGCACCAACACACGTTTCCCACAAGGGGATGTCTTGGTAGAAACCCCACGAAAGGTGATTTCTTTGCATATTTATCATCTGCAAACACATCACTTACACTAGCCAGCAACTGATAACGCACTAACAAAGGGAATTTATTGTGTAAATGAGATCTGCCATGTGAAGAAGTTCACCATCCCCAAGGGAAAACAGGGCAAAACCTGGTCAGAACAGCCACCAAGTTTTAGTTTGTACATACAGACATGCTCAACTATTTGCAAAAATGCTCCCACCACAGAAATTTCAGTTAAAAATAGGTGTGCTTGAGAATAGCGAAGTTTTCTTCCCACAATCCTGGCATTATATTTTTTTTCCTGACATGAATACTTGTGAAAGATGTGGGATTGCCAGTACTGGAGACAGCCCACTGCTGAAACCACATAATAGGTACACTGACAGAAACACAAGATCCCTTTACCAGAATATTCCTCCCTCCTGTACCTAGGGACTTCTCAAAGCACTAATTCAGCTTTCCTGCCTTTGCAATTCAAGATCTCTCTGTGAGAGCTTTTACCAAGCTCCCACAGGCAACGCCAGCCTTCACAGCAGCACTGGGACAGGACCCAAACACCCACCTCTTCATACGAGACACCAGTCACACCTTTTGGCTGTGACAGAAGTCAAGGCAGGTACTCGTTAGTAAAAAACAAAAACAAAAAAAAAAAAACCACCCTCTAGTAATTCTGTACTAGTCCAGGCCCTCAGTCACGTTTAATCGCGTTCTTTTTCTGTCCTCAGAAACTGAATCCTGAACAAGAAGCAAGAGAAGTTGGTTCAGCCAAAGTTGGTTCATCCAGTCCTGCTTCACGAAGCAGCCCTCAAGGTACCATGTACGTTGTGGGTGGGTGGGGATTGTATCTACATTATCAAATGCACGTCACACTTCCATTAAATATGTTCTTTGCTGTCTGACATTTTGAAAGCTCTTAACGGGCACAATGCCTGCGGTATTTCCCTTAAACTAGAGCAAAACAGCCACTGAAATGAGCACAGAAGAGGGTTTCCTACACCTTGCACTACACTGACAGAAATAACTGAGTGGCACTGAGGTGCCTCACTGACCCAAGGAGCTCTGTCTCAGCTCTCTTAAGAAATACTCCAAATACGTAAAAGAGATCTGTATTTTTTTTTTTTTTTTTTATCTCTTCCAATCTACCTGAATAAGTACATAAAATAAATTCCTTGTGAAGGTCAAACATATCTAAATGCCCCAGCTGTTGCAAGCAAACAGGGCTTTCCTGATCCAGTTTACACAAGAGGTTATCAGGGACAATCAAAAGCTGAACGCCATTCACCAAGGGACAGCACAGAAAAATATTGCCCAGCTATAAACAAGGTATCATTGTATTTAACTTGGTAGATACCACTCCACTCCAACATTTCCTCACAGAAGAAGTAACTAGCCATAAAAAAAAAGACCCATCTGCTAGATGAACATTGATTTCACACCTTATTTTCTCGTAAGCCACATTACTCACTTATACATTAACTTCACCCAGTAGCTGAAAGGTGGAGTTGAACGCACAACATTTGCCACCAGTTGCTTTTGCTCTGTCTATTGCTAGTAGTGTCTCGAAGGAAAATCTACCTTAACGCAGAATAATGGTAAACAACAGTGTGTGGCCTCTCAAACACTGCATTCTCACTGTAGATGTGTGTTGTCTTTGTAGCAGGTATAACACAGCAATCTTTAAAAAATTATCAGCGACTTTAAGTAGAACAACTGGAAAAGCAAGAAAAGTTGAAGCTCTTGAGCAAATATTTTTTTTGTTGGCACCCAGTCGTATACCTTGTGTTTGCTCAGCTCCATCCCCATCCTGTGCCATGGGCAGAGACTAGGATGAGCCCTTTGGCACTCACCAAGAGTTGCGGGTGCAGCAGTGAAGGCAACCATTACTGCCACCTCAGTACTCTGACTTCAGAGCACAAAGCCAGCTCCCAAGCTCCAAAGCAGGCAGTCAGAAGCAGCGTTGAGCTCCACTGTCATGGCAGGGTGTAAATAAGGAGGCAAAAAACTTAATGAACAGGCTTAGTACATTCACTCCAGGCCTCCTAGCTATGAAAAAAAAATATCTTAGGAGAAAGCTAAGCTTTCAGCTACCAGGAAACTTCTGCATGGACCAAACACAAACTGTGTTTGGATTATCACTGTACAAGTGCACCACCACAATAACCCCGTGGCAGTTCACATTCTTCTCGCCAGTGATCAGGAAGAAAACAACAATGCCACTTTCTACTCCAGCATCTGTAGTCAACCCTGCTATTAGTCACCCTTCTCAGAAAGTACTGTGCGCTACGGAAACCTGTTATCAAGTCACACAAGCACCCTTGGAGGAGCTTATTACCTGCCACCCCTGGAACCACCTGAAGGTCTATGTTATTAGGGGTTTACCTTACCCCACAAGGACTTGGACTTTCTGTCCAGCACTTCCTTCAGACAGAAAGAACAAACACAGAAGAGTTGTTTGATTTTAATACTGATACTTAAGTGCTGACCTTGCATACGTCTCTCAGTCGTGAAGATCTGCCCCTCACCTTGCATGCTTTTCTGTAATAAATCAGCTGAGGGTGAAATGAGTATCACATTCCTGCGTGACTGTACTTCTGCTGGCCTGACTTGAAGCAGGGAGAACAACATGGGATCACACCGAAATAACAGCAGTGTGTTATGTTGAACCAACTTCATATAGAGATGGAGGAGCCAGCAAGGAGTGGGAATTGCCAGGTTCAGCCTTGGGACAGCTATGTTTTAATGCACACTGAAGGTCTAACCAC